TGGGGGGGGGTTCCCACGGGCGTTCTGAGTGTTCCCACGTGATCTGGCTGCACCACCAAGAGGCAATCTCCCTGAACGTTGGGTAAGAGGCGGCACCCTCCAGAGCGAACTCGCTTCTTCAGCACTGCCGCCGCCGCCGCCTTGATGGCTGCGTGCATCGCGTTGCGTTTGAAGGAGGAGGAGCAGGAGGAGGAGTGGTCACTGGCAAGCAGCAGAGTCGGAGCCTCGCGAAGAGAGACAATCCTCGCTTCTACAGCGTGCGGGGTAAACGCTGCTCCACCTCGCGCGCACAGACACACACACCACCTCTAAAACACACACACACACATCTCATACACACACACATCTCTCATACACACACACCACTCACACACACACCTCTCACACACACACCTCATACATACACACCACTCATACACACACATACACACACCACTCATACACACACACACCACTCATACACACACACCTCTAATACACACACACCTCTCATACACACACACACACCTCTAATACACACACACACACACCACCTCTCACACACACACACCACTCCTCATACACACACACACCACCTCTCATACACACACACACACCTCATACACACCACTCCTCATACACACACACACCACTCATACACACACACACACCACTTCTCATACACACACACCTCTCACACACACACACACCACCACTCATACACACACACACCACTCCTCATACACACACACACACCTCACACACACACACCACTCATACACCCACACACACACCACTCCTCATACACACGCACACACCACTCACACACACACACCACCCCTCATACACACACACCACCCCTCATACACACACACACACCACCCCTCATACACACACACCTCTCACACACATACACACACACCACCCCTCACACACCACCCCTCACACACCACCCCTCATACACTCAAAACAACAACCGCCATTCGCCACTAAGTGGCGGTGACGTCACCACGACGCTTGTGCCAGGCTATGTGCACCCTGAGGCCACGCGAAGTGTCGAACGCCCACTGGCAGGAGGTCACGGGGCAGACCCAGCAGGTGCCACAGGTCGACTGACTGAGATGACTGGCTGATGCACCACCTGTGCCCCCTACTGTGCCAACCCGCTGTGCTTTAGCCACCCGGCGCTCCGCTCGTTGTTGTGAGCATCGCTCCTCCACCCTCCGATGTTGGTGGTGGTAGTGGTACGCCACTCAAGACATTGATGCATGCACAAGTCGCTCTCCGCTCCTCCACTATTGAGAGACAGTGTTCTTCCTCTTCCCACGAAGAGGTGGCAAAAACCCCACCTGCCACCAGCACACCAACCACAATCACCGTTACCGCCATTGCCATCTTCACCCTCGAGCAACGGGGACGGAGCGAAGCGCGTGACAACGAGCGTGCGACTGGGAATCATGTCGCAGCTGGAGAGGGCGGTGTGACCTGGCCTTGACCAGGTCACTAAAGCAGAGATGTAGGTCTTGCTGGAATTCCCTACACATCTGCTGTAGCAGACGGACAGAAAATATCGCATCTGTGCAGGACCGCCCTTTCCTGAAACCGCATTTGGGCTCCGCAAGCCTCTCCTCAGCGTGCCTGGCAAGGCGATGTTGAATAATCCTTGCCAGGACCTTTCCCGGCACACTGAGGAGTGAGATGCCCCTGTAGTTGTTACAGTCTGTGCGGTCCCCCTTCTTAAAGAGGGGGACCACCAGGGCATCCTTCCAATCCTGTGGAACCTGTCCAGTGGTCCAGACTGTTGTTATGATGTCATATAGGGCAGTCTGTGCACAAACGCCACCCTCCCTCAGCATTTCGCTTGGGAGATCATCTCTGCCCGGTGCCTTTCCTGGTCTCAGACTCCGGATCGCCTTCAGTGCTTCCTCAACAGATGGCACCTCAGCCAGCCACTCACAGGGGGTGACTTCTTCCAATATTTGAGGCACCGCAGCCTCAGCAGGGTCATCCCCACTTTGTGCCATGATGTTTTCCTGGCTGAGAGATTTTCCCTCCTCCAGGACCTCACAGAAATGCTCAGCAAATCTGCAAACCGGTTCCTGGGGGTCGGAGATTGGATCACCGTTTTTTCCCCTAATGTTGGTAATAGGTGTGGCGCTGCAGGTTGCTTTTTTGATGGAGTTAAATAGAGATTTGTGATCACGGGCCACTGAGGCAGACTCCATCTCCTCAGCAACCCACGACCACCACCCATCCTTGCAGCGCCTCACGGCTCTCCGAACCTCCGAGCGAAGGCTGCGGTAAGCCTCCTCATTCTCTGATGCGGGATTCTGTAGCCGATGACAGTGGGCCTGTCGCTTTTTCTAAACTATCCTGATCACCTCCTCTTTCAGCCAGGGTCTCTGGGGAGGTCTGGACTGCGTAACCAAAGCAGCCAATGCAGCTGCATGAGTCACAGTCCTAAAGCTCGCCCATTTACCCTCGACATCAGGAGGAGTGGGGGACGATGCCAACCCCAGCCGCAAGCGATGATGAAATTCTCGCTTGCAACTTTCATCAGATAACTGAGACTAGGCCACTTTAGGTTGGAATGGGGTCCTGGGTGTACACCCACCACCGGAGTGGAAGAATGGCAGGCGCATCTCACAGATGACTAGTCGATGGTCAGAGGGCAGATCAGCTCCACGGTAGGTCCTGGTGTCAAAGACATGGGCTCGCATCCGCTGATTCGTCACTATGTAGTCCAGCAGATGTTCTTGCTTGGACCCGGCATGCATCCATGATGTTGTGTGGATGCGCCAATGCCGGAACAGCGTGTTGGTAATTACAAGCCCATGGGCTGAACAAAAATCAAGCAGCCTCCTACCGTTGTTATTGAGCTGATCTGGCCCATGCCCTCCAATCACTCCAGACCAGGTGCCAGCATCATGACCAACTCGGGCATTGAAGTCACCAAACAAGATGACTCTATCCCGAGGGGCCACTTTAGCCAGCACCTGTGACAGGTCATAGAAGGCATCTGACTCATCGGCTTTGCCTGCATCCCTCCACGGATGTTCGTCTTCAGTGGGGGCATAAGTAACCACGACCACCACTCCTCGTCTCCGGTTGATGGGAAGGCGAGCCCAAAGTAGCCTGGGGCTTACAGCTTCCCACACCTCATCACCACGCTCCCATGCCCCCTTCATTCTTGTGTTCAAAAGAAGAGCCACACCCTGTTGTTTGGCAGTCTGCTGCCTCGAGTAGAGGACTGTCCACCCCTCATTGTGGCAGGAGCCAGAACCGGTCCACCGGACCTCCTGAATGCCACAGAGATCCAGGCGGTACCGGTCCAGCTCCCGACAGAGGAGTGGCAGCCTCTCCTCCGCAGTGAGCGTTCGAACATTCCACGTGGCCACACGAAGTGGCTTTTCGTTGTTTCTGGAGGAGACCCGAGGGTAGAGATTCAATCTCCTGGCTCTGCCAATTGGGGTTTGGCCAGGAGACGTCATAGACGCCTGTCCCCCCGGGGCCTCTGGCACAAGCTTATTAGTAAAAAATTTTATTCGTAGTTTCGTGGTAAAAATGTTGAAGGTGGAGGGGTTACCGGCCCCTCGTACCCGTCCAGAGCCCCCGTTTAGCCACTGTGGTGGTCACAGACGCCATGAGAGGAGGGGCCAATCGGAATTGGCCCTCCCCCCACAGCACTGTCCACGACAGAGTTTCCCGTCCGGCACCGCGAGGAGGTAGGGGGTTGTTTTGCCGGACACTCACACACACACCACCCCACACACACCACCCCTCACACACCACCCCTCATACACTCACACACACACACACACCCTGTGCATGGTTGATTTCGCCGTTGCCACCCACAGTGAAGATGCCGGGCTTCAGGCTGTACATTGACCCACACGACTACGACGAGCCCAGCGATGCTCTCCGCGAGTTCACGACGGAAATCGACGCCTCGCGAATCAAACTTGGACGCGTCATCGTAGCAGGTGAACGGGGGGGGGGGGGGGGGGGACGGGGGCGGGCACGTCTGTACCGTGGTACCCGTTAACTAAAACTTACTCACAGGGCGCCCACTTCAAATGTTGACACTGCTGAGAATTTGCAACGCCGCCGCAAGAAATGTTTGTGCCTCCGGGGCTCTGGAGACCGCCTGGAGAAGGTTCCAGGCGCACGGTGACAACGACGGCGAACGAGTGGGAGAAACTCTTTGACTTTTGGAAGCTATTAACGTTACATTTGTTATCATGTTTAACACGTAGGCTTTCGCGAACCCAGATCATCCATACGTGACAAGCCTTACTAGTTGGCTGGGTCGGGTGGTGGCGAGTTTAACCATACATTTATAAATTTACGTGCACTAACCAGAGAAAAAAAATCTCCATTATGGATTTGTTATCATGTTACAGCGTAGTATTATTATTATCCGTTCTCTTTCCATGAAAAACCAATAGTCCAATATAAGTGTTAACATTTTCTTTGGTTCTTTCGGTAAAGTCACGTAGAATGAGAATAAAATAATAAATTGATAAAATAAAATAACACAATAATATTCTCACGACGTTTCGGCCACAACACAAGCGGCCTTCATCAGGTGAAGGGGACGAGACTGTCTGGACAGCGCTGTCCTCCAGACAGTCTCGTCCCCTTCACCTGATGAAGGCCGCTTGCGTTGTGGCCGAAACGTCGTGAGAGTTTTACCGCGTTATTTTATTTTAGCAATTTATTATTTTAGTCTCATTCTACGTGGTGGTGACTTTAGCGAAAGAACCAAAGAAGATGAATCCTCGCAGTCACGAAAGCTTCAAATCGAAAAGTGTTAACATTGTTTTGCAGCACCCCGTCGTTTGCCGTGGGTTCACACTCCCCAACGCATGCACCACACAGCGACCGGCCAGTGCACAACCAGCAAGCAATCGGCACGTTTTATTCACGTGACGAACCTTACTTAGCAGCTGGACGGGGGGGGGGGGGTCCTCACACCTGCTCTACGTGCTACCCACTGTCATCGACCCCTCGGCCCGCAGGAGAGTTTGGGAAGGTGCACGTCGGATACCTGAAGCGCCAGGGCAGCAGCGGAGGGGCGGCGACAGTGCGCGTGGCCATCAAGACGCTGAAGGGCGGATCCAGCAAGCAGCAGCAGCAGGACTTCCTGTGTGAGGCGAGCATCATGGGCCAGTTCGAGCATGACAACATCGTCCGCCTGGAGGGCGTCGTCACCAAGAGTGAGCTTCGAGAACGTCCAATCGATGCCACACGCATTTTAAACAAACTAAAAACTGGCAATTAATCTTTGTTTGTTTTTTTCCGGTAAAGTCACATATAAATAAGAAGTAATAAAATAACATAATAGCGTACGACGTTTCGGTTGCAACGCAAGCAGCCATCATCAGGTACAGAAGAACTAAATTTAAGAGAGAGGGGAAATACATAACCCCAGATGTATACAACCGAAACGTCGGACGCTATTATGTTATTTTATTATTTCTTATTTATACGTGACTTTACCGAAAAAAACAAAGATTAATTCCTGCAGTCACAAAAGCTTCGAACCAAGTTTAAAACTGGCAAGTCTGTTATGTAGCTGGCTGTCCAGCTGATTATGCCCGTTGTTGTAATCACTGGTGATTGTACTCAGATTGGAAATGTTGTGGATTTGCTCTCCAACACACCGGTGTGGTGTACTTCTATACTACACTATACACACTGCACATTACACTATACACAACACTATACACGACTATACACTACACTCCTCTATACTACATTATACACTACTATACACTACATGCCACTGGTTCTTTATGTTCTAAAGATGTAGATGCCACTGGTTCCTCGCGTGCTGCAGATGTAGATGCCACTGGTTCTTCACGTTCTGCAGATGTAGATACCACTGGTTCTTCACGTTCTGCAGATGTAGATGCCACTGGTTCTTCACGTTCTGTAGATGTAGATGCCACTGGTTCTTCATATTCTGCAGCTGTAGATGCCACTGGTTCTTCACATTCTGCAGATGTAGATGCACTGGTTCTTCACATTCTGCAGATGTAGATGCCACTGGTTCTTCACGTTCTGCAGATGTAGATGCCACTGGTTCTTCACGTTCTGCAGATGTAGATGCCACTGGTTCACGTTCTGCAGATGTAGATGCCACTGGTTCTTCACGTTCTGCAGATGTAGATGCCACTGGTTCTTCACGTTCTGCAGATGTAGATGCCACTGGTTCTTCACGTTCTGCAGATGCAGATGCCACCACCATCTATTGCGCAGAGGTTGAACCTCTGACTCTCGGTTCAGAACGGGCAACCGGACGTACGAACAGGTTTGTTTGTACCTCTGAGAGTTCGTAAGAGGAACATTCGTAAGTAGAGGAGTCCCTGTGTATGAACCCACAGCGACGCATCTTGGCAGAGATACAAGGTGTGTATGTGACCAAGTGATGATGTTACGGTATAAGTCGTGAATGCTGTGCGTGGATTGCTAACGTTTGGTTTTCTTGTCCTCTCGACGAAGGTAAACCTGTCATGATCATCACCGAATTCATGGAAAACCATTCCTTGGATTTATTCCTCAGGGTAAGAAGTGGCAATGCCAAATGATGCGATCATCGGTGTGTTGCAGTCTCACACTCCTCAGCGGTTGTGTGTGTAACTGTCCACAAATGGAGAGCACACGGTGGCGTTGTTGTGTGTGTGTGCCGTAGATCATACTAACCGGGGCTCCGCTTGTGGTGACAACTGCACGCGTCTGCGTCAAACTTCTTTGTACCTTACGTAGCCAACTGGCGCGGGGGGGGGGACAAACTAAACACAACAAGCGAGAGTTCTAAACAAATTAGTTTAGACAACGATGACTTAAACGCACATAGCAGCTCCCGGAAGAGCATTCCAGACGGCCGCACAACAAGCAGCACAACGTCACCCAGGCGGCTCCTCATCGCCTCCTCTTCTCCCTCCCTTCCTCTTCCTTCTCCCCCCTCTCCTCCCCCCTCTCCCCCCTCTCCTCCCCTCCTCCCTCCCTCTCTCCCCCCTCTGGCCGGGCACGGTGTAGATGAAGAAGGGGCACCTCGTGGTGACCCAGCTGCTCGGGATGCTGCGTGACGTCGCATCGGGCATGGAGTACCTGTCCCGCAGGGGCTATGTGCACCGCGACCTGGCCGCCCGCAACGTGCTCGTGAGTGGCGAGCTGACGTGCAAGGTGTCCGACTTTGGCCTCTCGCGGACGCTTCTACTGGACGCCGACCCCGAGGGAGCGTACACCTCCCGGGTAAGGCGGGGCAGGAAAAAAGAAGCGCCGGCGTCGTCGACGGCCGACGTTCGGCCGACGTTCGGCCGACGTTCGGCCGGAGTCGAGGAGAAGGCAAAGCCGCGCCGGCCCGGCGTGTGTCGGCGCGGCGTTACCGCTCCCTAAGGGGCTTCCGTTTTTCGCCGAAAGTACTTGCCGCCGCCGTGCGTCGAGCGAAATGCATTAACCTCACACAGACACACGCACACACGCACACACACACACACACGCACACACACACACGCACACACACACACACGCACACACGCACACACACACGCACACACACACACACACGCACACGCACACACACACACACGCACACACACGCACACACACACGCACACACGCACACACGCACACACACATACACACGCGCACACACACACACGCACACATGCACACACGCGCGGTGAAAGTGCGAACGTGCAGCGTACGGTGCCGTTGTCTTTGGGATTCACGGGTCCACACCGGAGACGGTGTGGACCCGTGAATCTCGACGCTCGGCGCGTCGAGGCGGCGCGAACTCGCGACGCCGGCTTTGACCCGGCAAACCCTTCGCCGCGTGCCGACGACGTCGGGCCGCGAGAGCCCCGCGTGCCGGACCCGAGGGCGAGGTCCCGTTGTGAATGTTCCCCACCAGGGGGGGAAGATCCCGATCCGCTGGACCGCCCCGGAGGCCATCGCACAGCTCAGGTTCACGTCGGCGAGCGACGTGTGGAGCTACGGCATCGTCGTGTGGGAGGTGACGTCGTACGGCGAACGGCCGTACTGGGACATGAGCAACCGGGACGTGAGTTCAGCACCGGCACCCCTGTGTGTGTGTCTGTGGTCTCTGTGTGTGTGTCTGTGGTCTCTGTGTGCGGCTGTGGGTCTCTGTGTGAGTAGTCTATGGGTCTCTGTGTGTAGTCTATGGGTCTCTGTGTGAGTACTCTATGGGTCTCTGTGTGTAGTCTATGGGTCTCTGTGTGAGTAGTCTGTGGTCTCTGTGTGCGGCTGTGGGTCTCTGTGTGAGTAGTCTATGGGTCTCTGTGTGAGTAGTCTATGGGTCTCTGTGTGTGTGTCTGCGGTCTCTGTGTGAGTAGTCTGTGGTCTCTGTGTGCGGCTGTGGGTCTCTGTGTGATTAGTCTATGGGTTTCTGTGTGAGTAGTCTATGGGTCTCTGTGTGGTGAGTCTATGGGTCTCTGTGCGAGTAGTCCATGGGTCTCTATGCGAGTAGTCTGTGGGTCTCTGTGTGAGTAGTTTATGGGTCTCTGTGTGAGTAGTCTATGGGTCTCTGTGTGAGTAGTCTATGGGTCTCTGTGTGAGTAGTCTATGGGTCTCTGTGTGAGTAGTCTATGGGTCTCTGTGTGAGTAGTTTATGGGTCTCTGTGTGAGTAGTCTATGGGTCTTTGTGTGAGTACTCTATGGGTCTCTGTGTGAGTAGTCTATGGGTCTCTGTGTGAGTAGTCTATGGGTCTCTGTGTGAGTAGTCTATGGGTCTCTGTGCGAGTAGTTTATGGGTCTCTGTGAGTAGTCTATGGGTCTCTGTGAGTACTCTATGGGTCTCTGTGTGAGTAGTCTATGGGTCTCTGTGTGAGTAGTCTATGGGTCTCTGCGTGAGTACTCTATGGGTCTCTGTGTGTAGTCTCTGGGTCTCTGCGTGAGTACTCTATGGGTCTCTGTGTGTAGTCTATGGGTCTCTGTGTGAGCAGTCTATGGGTCTCTCTGTGAGTAGTCTATGGGTCTCTGTGTGAGTCGTCTATGGGTCTCTGTGTGAGTAGTCTATGGGTCTCTGTGTGAGTAGTCTATGGGTCTCTGTGTGAGTAGTACTCTATGGGTCTCTGTGTGAGTAGTACTCTATGGGTCTCTGTGTGAGTAGTACTCTATGGGTCTCTGTGTGAGTAGTACTCTATGGGTCTCTCTGTGAGTAGTCTATGGGTCTCTGTGTGAGTAGTACTCTATGGGTCTCTGTGTGAGTAGTACTCTATGGGTCTCTGTGTGAGTAGTACTCTATGGGTCTCTCTGTGAGTAGTCTATGGGTCTCTGTGTGAGTAGTACTCTATGGGTCTCTGTGTGAGTACTCTATGGGTCTCTGTGTGTAGTCTATGGGTCTCTGTACGTGTAGTCTATGGGTCTCTGTGTGAGTAGTCTATGGGTCTCTGTGTGAGTAGTCTATGGGTCTCTGTGTGAGTAGTAGTCTATGGGTCTTTTTGTGAGTAGTCTATGGGTCTCTGTGTGAGTAGTACTCTATGGGTCTCTGTGCGAGTAGTCTATGGGTCTCTGTGAGTAGTCTATGGGTCTCTGTGTGAGTAGTACTCTATGGGTCTCTGTGTGAGTAGTACTCTATGGGTCTCTGTGTGAGTAGTACTCTATGGGTCTCTGTGTGAGTAGTCTATGGGTCTCTGTGTGAGTAGTACTCTATGGGTCTCTGTCAGTAGTCTATGGGTCTCTGTGTGGGTAGTCTATGGGTCTCTGTGTGAGTACTCTATGGGTCTCTGTGTGAGTAGTCTATGGGTCTCTGTGTGAGTACTCTATGGGTCTCTGTGTGAGTAGTACTCTATGGGTCTCTGTGTGAGTAGTACTCTATGGGTCTCTGTGTGAGTACTCTATGGGTCTCTGTGTGAGTACTCTATGGGTCTCTGTGTGAGTAGTACTCTATTGGTCTCTGTGTGAGTAGTACTCTATGGGTCTCTGTGTGAGTAGTACTGTATGGGTCTCTGTGTGAGTAGTCTATGGGTCTCGTACCCCCCAGGTGATGGAGGCAGTAGAGGGCGGCTGGCGTCTGCCGTGCCCCATGGACTGCCCCATGCTTCTCCGCCGCCTCATGCTGAGCTGCTGGCAGCAGGAGAGCTCCTGGCGGCCCTCTTTCAGCCGCCTCGTTACCGCCGTCACTAACGCGCTGCACGACACGGCCAGGTGCGTTTGTGTGTGTGCGTCTGTGTGTGTGTGAGTTTGTCTGTGTGTGCGTGTGTCTGTGTGTGTGTGTGGGGAGCAAGAAAACAACCCCCTACCTCTTCGTGGTGCCGGACTGCAACGCTGTCGTGGGCGGTGCCGTGGGAGGAGGGACAATTTAAATTGGCCTTTCCCTTCATGGTGTTTGTGACCACCACAGCGACCAAATGGGGGATCTGGACGGGTGCGAGGGGTTGGTAACCCCTCCACCTTCAATTAATTACGACTAAATCATGAATGAAATTTTTTATTAATAAGCTTGTGCCGGAGGACAGGCATCTATGACATCTCCTGGCCAAAACCCCATTTGGCGGAGCCGGGAGACTGAATCCTCACCATCGGAGCTCCTCCAGAAACAACAACAAAAAACCACTACGCGTGGCCACGTGGAATGTTCGAACGCTCACTGCGGAGGAGAGGCTGCCACTCCTCTGTCGGGAGCTGGAC